AAGGGAGAGGGAGAGAGAGAGAGAGAGAAACATCAATGATGAGAGAGAATCATTGATTGGCTGCCTTCTGCATGCCCCCTGCTGGGGATTGAGTGAGCTGGGCATGTGCCCTAACCGGGAATTTAACCTTGACCTCCTGGTTCATAGGTTAACGCTCAACCACTGATCCACACCAGCCAGGCTAATTTTAGTATTTTTTTTTTGAAATGAAAAAAACCAAAACCCTGGAGTCCTAACATTTTCAGTTATACAATGATAGCATCTTTAAGGACGTTTTTTTGTATCTCCATTTTGAAGATTTGTCTCTCCTATTTCATTTTCATGTCTTATTGCTTTATTTTAGCCTCTAAAAGAATGTTAATAATAGTGATGATAGCAAGCATCTCTGTCTTGTCTCTAAATTTGGTGTATGTTTCCATTTTGTATGCTGTTTGCCATGCTGTTTTAAGTAGCTAGCATCTATTGTTCTCTAGGGAGCCAGTAAGGTTGAATAAAAACCAGAAGTGTCCTGAGAGCCAAATTCAAATAATATTTCAAGAAGACAAGAGTGATTAACTATGTCAAATGCTGGGTAGGTCAAGTTAAATAAAGCCTGAGAGCTGATCATTAGATTTAAGGACATGGAGGCCACTGATGACCTTAATGAGAGCAGTTTCCATGGCGAGAAGACTAGAATGGAAAGTAGGTTAAAGAGAGAATGGAGGGGAGGAACTGGAGACAGTGAGAAGAGGAGCGTTTTGTTTTGCAGGTTTGTAGTTGGGAGAGACGCTGGAGAGGAATGGAGTCAAAAGAGCTTCTTTTTTGTTGTTTGTTTTGTTTGTTTTTTAAAGATGAAAGACATTAAACCATATTTGAAAGTTGCTGCTTATGACCCAGTAATAAGAGAAAAGTGATGAGCAAAGAGAAAGGAGAGCATTTAGAGTGAGATTCTTGAAGAAGTGATGGGGCATAGGATCTTGCACACAAGTGCAGGTGACTTCCAACAGAACAGGGCCAGTGTTATCTCCCATAAGAGGGGGAAGGCAGGATATGACAAATGGGGCGGACGTTGGTAAGCAGGTCATTGTCAATTACTGCCCCCTTTTCTCAGTGTAAAGATTTCCTAGGCAATTCCAGTGAACGTGTAGGTTTGGAGTCACTGGCCCATAGCTAAAACCAAGAAACCCAGAGAGCCTATTGCTTCCTTCCAAATCCATGCCTGTGTCTTAGATCTCATCTCCTTGCTAGTGAGAAAAGGCATTTCCAGAGCCAGCTGGGGTGAAAGTGAAAAGGGAGTTACCTCTCATTTCTAGACCTTAGGTGTCAGGCTGTGAGAATAGCTCCAGGCCTGTCTTATCTTCCTAGACAGACAGACTGCACATATGAAAAGAGAGAAGAGAAAGAAAAGGGGTGGTGGTGAGAAAATTAGATAGATTAGGGAGGGGGTGGAGAGAGAGAGAGAGAGAGAGAGAGAGAGAGAGAGACCTCTCCCCAAACAGAACAACCCAAGAGAGGGAGGAGGACATCTGGGTTATTTATATGCCCCTGCTGTGGTGACTTCATCTTCTAGAAGCCAGTTGGTTCCTTAAATATGTCCAGTCCTTACCCCTGGGAGAGAGGCCACATTCAAAGTCATTGGCCCTGATGTCAAGTTGCCTTGGAGTAGAAGAGGTGGGGTGGGGAAACTAATAAATCTAAGTTGCCTCCACTCTTCTACCTGGGCCCAAGTCAACAATGGGTGTCATAAAAGGTGAATCTGGCCAGCACAGTTGTCTTAGTCTGTTCTGGCTGCTACTGTAGACTGGGTGGCTTAAGCAAACATTTATTTCTCACAGTTCTGGAAGCTAGGGAGTGCAAGATCAAGGTGCTGGTAGGTTTGATGAGTGTTGAAAGCCGGCTTCCTGGTTCTTAGACCACTGTCTTCAAGGGTGAACTGTCCTAAGGTACTAATTCTCTTCCTGAGGGCGCTGCCTAATGATGTAATCACCTCCTGAAGGTGCACCCTCCAAATACCATCACATTGGGAGTTAGGTTTCAACATGATTTTTTGGGAGACACAAATATGTCAATTTTTTTTTTTTTTAGAGAGAGAGAGAGGAAGTGAGAGGGATAGAGAGACAGAAACATCTATGAGAGAGAAACATCATGGATTAGCTGCCTCCTGCATGGCCCCTACTTGGATTGAGCCCACAATCTGGGCCTGTGCCCTGACCGGGAATCAACCGGTGACCTCCAGGTTCATGGGTGGATGCTCAACCATTGAGCCACACTGCCTGGGCTCAACAACATATTAAAAAATTACATATAAATACTCTAAGCAAGGCAGGCATGCTATTTTCCTGCTCAATGCAGCAACTCCCTACCCTGTGTCCTCCACAATCACCACAGATATTGGCACAGCTGGCCTAGCCACCAAGGTGCAGGTTGTGGAAGTGGGGAAATGCTGGTACACTTCCCCAGACCCACCCCCCCCCCAACCCCCAGACAAACAGAAGTCCTAAAATGACTTAGGGACCTTCCCAACTCTGGGCTCTGTGTGGCTTTCTTCTGCTGACTGACCACTACCCAGGCCAGCTGTTTCTTTAGGAATCTTCCCTGGGGATAAAAATAAGAAATAAGCTATTTCTTTCCTGATAAGAACATCCACAGGAGACCCTTTGCATGTGATCCGCATGTGCTGGGGGTGCCTGTTCATTGTCCTGGCCTTGTGCTGTCATGGACTCCGATATTCAAATGCACGTTTCACACCCTTGTCCCACAGTTGAGAGGATGGCCATTCACTATGCATGAGCCATTCACTCATGCTCATCGCATGGCGAAAATTACATTTTCCCAGGTGCCAAGTGGAAGAGATAAATTATCGCAAGTGGAAAGTGCATTGTTCCCAAGGGCAGCTCCACAGACCCAAGACGCTGATTTAAAACACCCGGGAGGAAGACTGGAGCTTTCCTGACTCCTGACGTCCTCCGTCCGCGCCTCCAGGCCCTCACCCCAGTGGGCTCAATGTGACATTTGACTTCCTGGCTTTTTGTGTGGATAAAATGAGCACCCTTGGGACCTCTTATTCTTCCTTCCTAGAAAAGTTGTTGTAAAAATGAATAAATCAACACAGAACAGTTCACATTGATGCACACCCACTGAAATTGATAGTACGTATTTACAGTGAAAATTAAAGAAGGGAAACGTTAAAGTGTTCTCTTTGGGGAAGACACATTGGAACGCCTTAGCCATGGATGTTCACACATTTACTTTTCACCCACTCTCTCCTTATCCCTACCTGTTCTCCTCAGGAAGGTTCAGATAACTGTCTCTAACTTAGCATTTAATCTTTAACCCACTACCTACATAATGATTTATAACCCACTACCTACATAATGGTTTATAACCCACTACCTACATAATATGCTTTATAACCCACTACCTACATAATGGTTTATAACCCACTACCTACATAATATGCTTTATAACCCACTACCTACATAATAAGTACAGCTAACATTTATTGCCCTGCAGATGGCCATCATTGTCCTACCTACTTGATGCATGTGATCCCACAATTTAAAATTTTTTTAAAATATATTTTATGGATTTTTTACAGAGAGGAAGGGAGAGAGATAGAGAGTTAGAAACATCGATGAGAGAGAAACATCGATCAGCTGCCTCCTGCACATCTCCCACTGGGGATGTGCCCGAAACCCAGGTACATGCCCTTGACCGGAATCGAACCTGGGACCTTTCAGTCTGCAGGCGGACGCTCTATCCACTGAGCCCAACCGGTTTTGGCCCACAATTTAAAATGTTTATGTTTTTGCCCCCGTTATAATTAGCACAGTAATAGGACTCACAGGTTAATTTTTTCCAACAGTTATTGAGCACCCAGTGTGCACCTATTGAACTGGGCTCTGAAGGAGGTAGTGCTGGCGGTGGGGGATGAAGCAGAAAAAGCAACATAGTACCGAGCAGATCCTATGAAGGGCCAAAGTGAGGTTCTCTCTGGGAATGTTCTGGGAGTGGGGAGAAAGCAGGGCTCCCGGGCAGCTGAAGCCACTAATGACCTCATTATACAATATTCAGGTGATCACCTTTTTCTCCGCCTGGAGAAGTGGCTCCTCCACCATCCCACTGGGGTGCACGCACCAAATCCGCGTGGACCACTGTGGATCTGTGGAAGGCACCACCCAAATACCAGGTGTGACCGGTGTCAGGCGCTTCTGCTTCCCTTTCCTCTGGCTTCCAAAGTGTGGGTTCCCTTCTGCTAGTTTTGTTGGTTCCCATCTGCTAGTTGTATCCCGGCCGTGCAAATAGGCAGACTCCCGGCCCGGGCTCGTGTACTCTGCACCCCCTCGACCCTCCACCCGGTTCCGCCTCAGGCGCACCCAGGTCTCCCCGCTCCCCCACGCCCCCACCCCTCGGCGCCGGGCACGGGCTTGGTTCCCAACCCGCCCCCTTGTCCCCGCCAGCTCCCGGTCCCCGCGAGCCCCCGCCCGGCCACTGCAGCAGCGCAGTGCTGACCGAGCGCGGGGAGGCGGGTTCCACCGCGGCGAGGAGGACCCCGCTTCCCCACCCCCCTCCGGGGCTGAACCGAGGGGCTCTCCTTCCCGGGGCGCGGGAGGCAGAGGGGCCTCTGAGGCGGCAGAGGTCTCCGAGATCGTGCGCCCCGCGGGAAGGCCAGGCTACCGGGTCGGGAGCTCCCCGGAAAACGCGGGCGCCCGGCCGCGCAGGTGAGGCTGATCCGAGGGGCCGGGCCGGGACGGGGAAGGCCCGTCCACCCGCGCAGCTCCGCCCGGGATCGCGAAGCCGAGCCGCCCCGAGGCTGTGGGCAGGGGGAGCGGAGCGCATGGGAAAGCGGCTGCCCAGGGCCGGACCCCCTCGCCCCGGGCACCCCTCGCCTGCCGCCGCCGCAGCAGGTGGGGGCCCGGCGGGCCAGGGGCGGGGCCGGCTCGGGGCGGAGCGGGTGGCCGCGATCGCGGCGGGAGCGGTGGGGAGAGGCGGGGAAGGGGCGGGGGACGGGGCCGGCGGGGGCTGGAGCCCGAGCAGCGCCGGAGCGGGAGCGGCGAGCCAGGCTGTCCGGGTGTCCGGGTGTCCGGGTGTCCGGGAGCTCGCCGCGCGCCGGGGCTGGGACCGCAGACAAAGGCGCCGCTCGGCCGCCGCCGCGCTCCGGGGCTCCGCGTGGTAAGTGGCTCCCTCCCCTCCTTCCTCCCCGGCCGCCTCCTCGGGAGTTCTGCCGGCTCCGGGGAAGCCGGGGAGGAAGCGAGAAGCGAGACCCCCCGCTGTCTGCCACCCTCTCCTCTCCCTGAAAAACACACCAACAACCCCAGCGAAAAGCAGGCAACCCGAGCGCAGCGATTCCCCGGCGGTGCGTGTCCCCGGGACCGCCGGCCGCCTCGGTGACCCCTCGCCCTGCGGACCGCGCGTCACCCCGTGTGGTCCCCGGGATGGGAAGGTGGTTTGGATGGGAAGGGGGCCGCTGGGCTCCTGGGGCGACAGCTTAGCGGAGGAGAAGGTGGGGACGGGATGCCGCGAGGGGACCCCACCTTGGGAGCAGTTCGGTGCGTTTTGGGGCCGCCGAGGGGCAGTTCGCCCTGCGAGTTCGGATTTGGGTCTCGGTTGTGGGGTCCGCCCCGTCCTCTCGAACCTCCTCCCATCTCGTGAAAGGGTTAATGCAGCGCCTCCCAAACCCCACCCGAGGGACGCCCCAACTCTGCCCGGGGGGCCCAGGGCGGGGCCGCGGGCGCGGGGAGGAGGGAGCCGCCGCTGTCCCGGGCTGCCATTCTGAGCGGAGCCTGCGGGGAGGGCGGGTGGCCGCCCGCCGAGGACGGGGTTTGACATCACCGCGGGGTCCCGGCTGGCTTCCCCCGCCTCTGCCCGAGGCTCTCCAGCGGAAAAGCCTTCGGAAGCCTGGCTGGCTTTGGCTTTTGTTCTGCCCGCAACTCTCCGGAATCCCGGGAGAAGCCAGGGAGGGGGCTGCCCCGGGGTGGGGGTGGGGGGCCGTGGCGGGAGCCCCAGGTGCGCCCCGAAATGACAACGGGAGGCGGTGACTACTTCCCTCCCGGGTGGGGAATGGATCCGGATAGGAAATCGCTGCGGGGCTCGACCCGGGGTGCGTGGCTCGCGGGGAGCCGGGTGTCCACCGCGCGGCGCCCTGTCACGCGCCTCTCCAGGACTCTCGAAAGCGCCAGCTCCAGACGCGCATTTCCATTCATGGATGCGCCTGGGGTGTGCTTAATGTCACCCCTGCCCGCTCTCTAAGGAGCCAGTGTCTGCTACAGTCCTATTTAACAGGCATTTACAGAGGGCCTACTGTGTGCAAGGGCATCTTAATTTAAAAGATATTGATGGAGCACCTACTATGAGCAAAGTAGATGTGTTACAAACTTCCCAATTTAAAAGACATTTCGAGTACTTATGTTCAGGATAGCTTCCATTAGGTTAATAGATGTTTACTGAGCACCTACTGAGTACAGGCTTTGGTTTGTTTTGTTTTCTGAAGGGTTGCCCAGTGTACTTTGGGGAGGGCGGGGAGAGGGGGGAGATCTGGAGACAAGGGTGAGAGAATAGTTTCTGGCCCCTAGGGTCTTCAATCCCTTTAGTGGTTGCATGTTAACCTTTTGGGCTGCGTATGCGGTGTAGGAGGAGCTTCTATATAGCTGGAGTTTGTCAGAGGGAGCAGGGCGGAAAAAGGAAAGACCTACTCTTTCCAATTCAGTTTCCTTCCATTGAAAAAAAGAAGGCAGACCCTTTGTGCAAAGCACTGTGCTAGTATCGCAGGGAATCGAGGTTAATAAGGCAAAGCTCTGCCACTCAAAGGGATGGAGCATCTGGTGGGGACAGAAAGACACAGGACAATCAACTAAATCAGGAGGGGGAGGCGGAAGAACCCCAGCTGCAAACTGGTGGCAGCAGTTGGGGTAAAAGTATTTTAAAAATCTCATTGTTGAAATGACTGGGGACCTAGAGGCAAAATGAAGTGGTCTGAGGGTTCTTCCTGCTAAGAAATTTGATGACTCTATTACTCTAATAATCTTGTGATGTTGAAACATACTGGAATATCCAGATTGGCAAGAGAACTGTGGGTCCTTAGTCTATTGGCAAATACTTGAGTACTTAGAATGTTACTAGAGGTCCGGTGCATGAAATTCATGCACTGGGTGGGTGGGTGGGGATCCCTCAGCCCAGTCTGTGCCCTCTTGCAGTCTGGGACCCCTTGGGGGATGTCCACCTGCTGGTTTAGGCCCGATCACCCTGGGCCTAAGAGGCAGTCAGACATCCCTCTCACAGTCCAGGACTCTCACAGTCTGGGACCCCTTGCTCCTTACTGCCCACCTGCAGCAGAGACGGGAGAGGCCGACTTCTGGCTGAGTGGTGCTCCCCCTGTGGGAGTGCACTGACCACCAGGGGGCAGCTCCTGCATTGAATGTCAGCCTCCTGGTGGTCAGTGCACATCATAGCGACCGGTCATTCCAATGGTCGTTCCGTTAGTCGTTCTGCTGTTCGGTCGATTTGCATGTTAGGGTTTTATTATATAGGTCATACATGCTGTTATCAGGGGCATATAGTCCAAGACAGTGGTTCTCAACCTTCCTAATGCCTCGACCCTTTAATACAGTTCCGACTCCCAACCATAAAATTATTTTCGTTACTACTTCATAACTGTAATTTTGCTATTGTTATGAATTGTAATGTGAATGTCTGATATGCAGGATGTATTTTCATTGTTACACATTGTACATAATTAAAGCATAGTGATTAATCACAAAAACAATATGTAATTATAAATGTGTTTTCCGATGGTCTTAGGCGACCCCTGTGAAAGGGTCGTTCCACCCCCAAAGGGGTTGCGACCCACAGGTTGGCGACCCAGAGACATGGTCTTTTTCCTAAAGGACCTAACAGACTGCACAACTTACATGAAAAATCAGGGGCAGCCGAGCCAGTGTGGCTCAGTAGTTGAACTTTGACCTATGAACCAGGAGGTCATGGTTCAATTCCCCATCTGGGCATATGCCTAGGTTGCCCAGTAGGGGTTGTGCAGGAGACAGCTGATCAATAATTCTCTCTCATTAATGTTTCTATCTCTCTCCCTCTCCCTTCCTCTCTGAGATCAATAAAAATATATATTTTTAAAAATCAGGGGCAAATTCCTATTAGAATTTAATGTCAGAAAAAACATTTCTGTCCTCATGGAATTGTGGCTTTCCTTTTATCAGAGCTTGAGAACATTCTATATGTCTAGTGTGTTTATCTTTTTACCTTGGCCTCCAACAATTCCTGGTAAATGCTTTATCCTAGCTTCTTGGTACAATGATCTTTTTCTTCCAAAATTATTTCTGATCTCCCATTTAAATTCTTTTAAAACTACATACTACTTTTTGTTATGAACTTAAAAACCGCCCCCCTCCCCACATCTTTTCCGACAGTTGGCCCCTTATGAAAGAGACATAGGAAATAAGGCAGACACTAGATGAATGACTTGGAAGCCCTTTACTTATAAAAAGAGGGAGAAAAAAATAACAGAGGCCCAAACCAGGCATGTGCAGAGAAAACATGAACTAGTGTTGCAAGATGGACTAGGATTCAGCTTACCTCCCATTGAGGGAGTGGTATAAGCAGAGGCGAAGGAGGAAACAGACCATCTGTATGTAGAGCGCTTCATCTGGGACAGTTGCCATTCATTCAACAAAGAGGCCCTGCCTGAGCATCTTACTGTGTCCATGACTTTTTTAGGTGTCAGGTGGGGGCTTCATCCAGCAGTTTGGGGTTCACTGTGATCCCCACAGCTGGCAAGGACCCTCATCTCCTGTTCTAGCTGCAATGGTAGAACTGCATCCCTACCATTCTTTCGAGCACCCTTGGGCTGTGTGTGTTTTCACCTGAGCGGAACGCGATTTTAACTTCCTTGAAGGACAAGAATGTGACTCGTTCCCCCATCCTTCCTTGTCTGCAGGCTCAGGTGTAGTCTGTGGAGTAGGGACATTTGTTTCAGAACCCTGTATGGCCCATTTCTTCACCCTTTCCCTGCCTCATCGGGGCCTGTCCTCCCTTCCTCTCCACCACTGCAGCTGTTCACTATATGAAAACTCAGGGGGAAAACAGTCTGTTATCAGTCACTTCCTCTTGAATATGATTGTAAGTCACTGTTGTCTTTCCCCGGGGGGGCGGGGCGGGGGTGAGGGGTGTCTTTGCAGTTTAGGCCTCATTATGGAATGAAAGGCTTCGTTCACCAGGAGAGGATTTAAGCATGGGCAAGTGGGTGTAGGAGGTAATTGGGAGGCAAAGTGCCTTTCCTGGTGCTCCTGAAATTATGCTACCGCCTCCTCATGGAGCCGCTCTTGGCAAGGTCCTTGCGGTCCCATGACCCATAGAAGTGTGGAGCTGGCGTTGCTTTTGAACATGGTGGAGGGTAGATGTGAGATAGCAGCTCTGCATGAGCTGCTTGTTAACTTGGGCTTCTACTCTTTAATCGTTTTCCAGCCAGAATTCTAGCAGTTTTACCTACATGCGCCCATTATGTTAAGGCAGGGATTCTTAACATGGGCTCTGTGGATGCTGAGGGCTGGATATGCTTTGTCTCGGGGAGCTGTCCTGTGCATTGTAGAATGTTCTGCAGCATCCCCAACCTCTACCCACTAGAGGCCAGGAGCACCCGCATGGCCCCTCCCTGAGTTGTATCAACCCAAACGGTGTCCAGTTATTGCCCCCTGGGGAGCAAAATCACTGCTGATCGAGAACCACTGTTCTCAGGGGTGTTGTTAGGATGCCTTATGCTGTATAACTATTCCCAGATTTCTGGGCGAGGTCTTATTTAATGTAACTTGGTTCTTTTTATTGAAGTTGACTTAGCAAATGTGTAGTTAATATTGTAGACCTTTCCATATGAATAATTTCCCAAATGAGAATAAACTTTTTTTTTCTTTTTCTTTTTTTTTTAGGCCACATGTTCTAATCTGGTCATCATATTAAGTTAATCTATTGAGGCAAAAAAAAAAATCTCAAATTCTTTCCTTAGCATGTGACTTATTTATATGTCAGAGGTGCCCTAAGGGTCACCTCTGCCCACTGTGTGGGCAGTAGGCGTGAGGGAGGTGGCAGGGGAGGGCCCAGTGCTGGCAGGATGCTCTGTAACTTGAGGGATCCTCTTTAAATAAAAGACAAAATGACCAGGTGAACAGGTT